GTTTCAGGTTTTCATACACCCTAGTATATATATCTAGTGTCTAGAATGACTTGTGGACTACAACGGGTGATTTTTGCTGTTTCCTAGAGGCCGGGGCAATAGTCCGGACATGAATATGACCTTGGCCGAGGCCGGTATTTTATCCGGACATAAAGGCGGGGGGCCGCCAGAAAAAGTCCGGACATGACAAAATCGAGTCTTGCACCGGCATCTATCGGTATTTTCAGGGGTCCTATTGTATGTCAATGTCAATGCATGATCCGCTACGCAATGCATATGATGCAGGTACGTGTCCTGGGTTACGGTCAAGATTAGCCTCCAACGTTGCACAACGGAGAGTACTATTAACAGGATGTCCAATAGACTCATCAGACTTTCTATTACAGCTGATCGCATAACGACGACGCACCCCGCATTTCTAAGTACTCCTGGTTGACGAATCAAAACCGTCAGATGCAACTGTTGTCGGTGCAAGCTGGGCGCTAACTCAGTTAGCGGGCTGTCGAGTCACTGGGCCTTCTTAGAAACATCTCACCATTATGGTTGTTCGTTACGGAGCGCCTCCGATCAACGTAAGTAAACGACGGATCCTGGTGTCGTGTTACTTGAGTCTTACATCCAAGGACTTCGGAAACTCAATGCACGAGTACCCGGAGAGATGTTCATCATCAACGTACAGCCACAAGGTGTGCGATGGCCAAGCGCTACAGTCTAATGTCCCTGTGCCGGGATGCATCGATGCAGCCCCATAGCTAAGCATACTAAGCGTGAAACTGGTTCAACACACGTCAATCCTTGTACATACATAGCTCGGCCGCTGAGCGCTGAATGTGTGTGTGTGCCGAGATCCCCACTCACGTCGGTCGCACCTGCTGAGGCTTACTAGAAGGCACAGCACTCGTCGACGCGTTCTCTGTCCCAAGGCAATATAACACTCGTGAGCTTCCTTTCTTTCTTTCTTCCAATATCATCACTGAATTTGAGCTTTTTTGCAAGCGGGAGAGGAGTGCATCAACGGATGTCTTCTAAAGCTGACGAAAGCTTCTATAAAGTGGATGACGGGTCTTGGGCTAGTCTTGTGTCCAGAGCCTTCGAAGATTCAGCAGACGATACTCGGAGGATGTTCCCGTTATCCTCTTTACGTCGCCCCGAGTGCTCTTCCCTTGGTGCTGAACGCATTGCAGGACCTTCTAACAGGTTCGATCGGGCTCTCGCCCACGTTTCTCTGTGGATTAGCGCCACGGTGTTCGTGGCCCCAATGACTGGTCGCCGTTCGTTGGAAATGAAGCTTTCCCGGAGTAATAGGTTTCTGGATCGTAGTCCTTGCTCTCTTCCAACATTTTGTCAGCATTTGCATGCATTGTTGCGAGTTGATCATCACGGCAAGCAGGGACGAGATCATATGGAAGGCGGCGACTTCTCCCGGAGGCACTCAACCTCATGAATCTGTCCGCAGCTGGCTTACGAGTTGGCCAACCCTCAGTTTCTTTGCTGTCAAAACCTTTATACACTGGGTCTGCAGCAAGGCGCTGGTCGTGCAGGACTTGGAGTTTCTTATGGCACCTGTACAGGTACGTAAGATATCCTGTGTTACAACGGTGACGGATCGAAACATCTCCCACGATATTCTGGCTCGCCATATTCTCCGTGGTCACGGCGCCACAGGAAGAACGGACTAGTCGGGCTACAGGAAGAATGGACTAGTCGGTCCATCAGGTCGGCACGCCTCTGAACTCGCTACGCGTAATCCAGACTCGCTGAGACGTCCCGCTTGTCTGTGCACGAGTGACACACCTTTACCCCATGCTACATGAACGTGCCGTGTGCTGCAGGCAGTGTACCTTCAGCAGAAACGTTGGCTTGTAGTTCAAGCCAGCATTGTGAGGTCTGGCTACGACAGCTTGCAGAGCGGGCACTTCACCTTGCGACATAACCGTCTCTTATGCGCTCGGCTCGTCTTTTGTCGAGTGACTTTTCAAACATACCCCCAGTGTGTAACTTATTACCGGAACACGACGGAGTTTATCATGAGTAGAGGCATGGGTGTATTCCAGTAATAAAATAAGAGCTCCTGAATGTAAGATGCGGGGTGTGAGCGGGGAGGAGTAGGGTAGCTAATAATGTAGTCTAGGAAGATGAGTACAAGGGCGTATGGGTGCGTCAGTCCTCTGTGGCGACCTGGGTCTCACTTGGTAGCAGAGCACTAGCCCTGATCCGTTCGATATCCTTCCTGGACAGATGTGCTTCGTCACATAAAGACCGGAAAATCGAGTCGGACTTATCGTAGAGGTTTAGAGGAGTATCGTATTCGGCCACCCGTCCCGAGTCCATGACAAGTATGCGGTCGTAGTACGCTAGGTGATATCATATCAGCGCCCGCGAATGCAGACAACGTCTCTCAACTTACCGATCGTGTTCAAGCGATGCGCTATGCAAAGTAAGGTCGAGTTGGAGAACTGAGTCTGAATCGTCTTCTGGACCTTCGCGTCTGTCTCCACGTCCACGCTACTGGTCGCTTCGTCCTGGAGTGCGAACGGGTCAGCAAATCGTGGAGACGGCTCGGTTACCACTCACCAATACTATTATACGACTGTTTTTGACGAGGGCTCGACAAAGTGCCAGGAGCTGTTTCTCGCCAGCACTGAAATTACCCCCTGGTGTCGAAATTTACGACCGTTATCTAGAGGTCTTAGAGACGATCCTCACCTTCATCGCTCACACGAGCATCCAGGCTGAATTTTGCCTCCGTAGCGGGATCAGCCGGTCCCTCTTGTGGAAGCAGCCAAGCTCGACGAAGGGCGGATATAATTTCCGCATCGGTACGGGTGTTTTCTGGATCACTATGATTGTGTTAAGAGGAAGTCAAAGATGGAGTAGGACGCGTCTTACAGATTCTCTCGTAAAGTTCCCAGGAACAGGGTATTAGCTTGCGGTACAAGCGCAAGTCGAGACCGAAGAGTACCCAAGCCAATATTGCGAATATCGTATCCGTCAATCTCTATGCTGCCTTTCTGAAGTTCCACAGTACTAAAAGAAGCTGTTAGTAGACATGGCGTGCGCCTTGAGATAGTCGATACTTACCGGAAAAGGGCCTGCAGTAGAGAACTCTTTCCTACAGTGTATATTAGTCAGAGGTGGCACTGGCCGCTTGTAGGAAGTCGATTACCGGCGCCAGTTCGTCCAACTATGCCAATCTAGCGCGACGGAGCACAATCATACACTTATTTCTCGTCCATTGTGAGAGACGCGCACCTTTTCACCGGGCTGCACTTCAAAGCTAACATCATGCAGAATGACAGGCAACCCTGGGCGATAGGCAAGGGCAACCTGCGAGAACTTTACGCGGCCGGCCTCTGGCCATGCGGGAGGTGGATCGCTTGACGTCGTGGCATATCCTTCCAAGGGCAACTCTGTATAAAACAAAAGGCGCTCCACCGCATTCATAGCCTGCTCCATTTGAGCGTAAGAAGAGACAATGGTGGCTGCAGATAGAAAGGGGGTTATGAGTCTTCAGAGTTCTGAAACCTCCGAGGTGGTGGCAAACGTACAGAGTAGCTGCGTGACTACGGAAATGATCAGATGCCGCGCGAAAGCAAATTTTGAGTAAAACACTGACTTGTCAGAGAATATGAGAGCACAACTCCGACTCTAGAGGGATTGACGCTGTGTCGGAAGCCTGCAGCGAATAGGCCTATGCCCAGGATCAAGAGATTTCCGAAAAAGTCTAGACGAGTCGCAAGCCAAAGTTGGATTACGATAGTCATATATAGGGCACGATTCTCCAAATCAAGGCCTTCATAAGCCTTCACAACGAAGTGCTCCTACGGGAAGGAGATAAACGGAGCAACTCTAGCAGCACATACAGCTCACCTGTCGTCGGTAGGCCCTGAGACTTGACAGGCCCGTGAGGCATTCTAGAGAAGGGAACTGATAAGATCAACAAGTGGAAGTTGCTATAGTCACTAACCTGTGTATGAGGCATACAACTGGGAGCGCATCAGGGAGTCTAGCCGCTTCGTCTCCACGGACGACCTGCGGTAATATATCGATACCACGTAGTAAAGAAATCCCAACGGTACGAATATAATCCCTAGATACGGGAAAGTATAGAACACCAGGCCCACCGTGCCAAGCACATTCATAGCGCTCGTCAGGAACTACACTAGTGGTCAGCTTCCTTCGCTTACCGTGGTGGACGGTGGAGATTTGGTTTGCTACGAACCGAGTAGGATACCATGGATACTTCGAAGTCAACGGTGTCTTGATCTTTTGCGAGCCTGGATATGATCCGCCCTTTGGGGATATCCTGGCTCAGCGAAGGGGGTTTTCAATGGTGAAGAATGAACGTACCCATTGGGGTGGTGTCGAAAAAGGAGACAGGCGACCGCAAGACATGCATCAAAGCTGCCTGAAACATCGCCAAACTAGCGGACAATCCTGCCAAACTAATGATGATTTTGTTCATTGTCATGTTTTTCGAGACACGCGACACGTACGTGAACGTCAAGTTGCTCACGAGCGCAAAGACGGCTTGTGCGACTCCAAGCCCAGCATAGACGCCAATGTATTGGCCCTGGTGGAAGCCCTTTATACTCCCGGCGGTCCAGAAACCCAGAAATAGGTTATTCGATACTATGGATTGGTTAAAAACACATTTGCTGACTCAAGGCTGAGTAACTCACCAGTGGCCCCTTGTTCCAACACAAGAAGGACGACAATTGCGAAGGCCCACAGAAGTCCTCCGACATAATGGAAATACTTTTTATACGTCTCCAACCCCACGGCACCGGTGACTCTTTCTTCCTCCTGCATAAGAATATCTCTCGCTTCGTCTACTTTCGGGAGGGCACCTTCTTGTGGTTTCTCCATACGCTTCTTCTTCACTGTCGTCTGAATGCCAAGATCGTCGGTATTACCAAACTCTTCCATAATGTGAGAGAACAGCACGCTATTGCTCGATAGGTCCTATCGGCGACAACGAGAGAGCGAACTGAGACTGACAGCATCATAAAGAGGCTGAAGACGACCCTACCTCGAACCTCCCTTGCTCACGGATAACACCATGATCCAGAACGTATATGTAGTCGGCCTTGTCAAGCACATGCAAAGCATGGGTAACGAGGACACGGGTGCTATTGGCGAGCGGACCCTTGATGAGGCAGTTGTCGAGAATTGACTTGCCTACCCACGCGTCTACCGCGCTGAGGACGTCATCTAGTAGAACTATATCCGGACGCGCATAGGCTGCCCTAGCAAGCGAAATACGGGCCTACGATGACGAAGATTACTTTCACATTTGCGCGTCCCAGAAGTGATAAGTTACCTTCTGTCCGCCTATCCGAAACCATTCAGCACAGCACACGTGAGCACTCAACGGAAGACGCACCGCTCAAGTTGATACCCTTCTCCCCAATCTCAGTGTACTGGCCGTGGGGAAGCAGCTTCAGGTCGGGTTCCAGGCAGCAAGCGCGGATAACTTCTTGGAACCTGCAGAAACGAGAGAACGGTCAGACCAGGCCACACATATCAGTGAGATTGGATGTACCAAACATCGTCCTCAGGTTGACCAAATACTATGTTCTCCTTCAGCGTCGCGTTCATGATCCAAGGGGCTTGGGGAGCATATGCGACGGATCCTCCGAAAATCACCTAGAACACAAAAACGGGACTCTTCAGCGTACCGAGCGGCACCGACGCATTCTCTCACGTTTCCCTTAGTCCTTCTCATTTCGCCGAGCATAGCTTGAAGTAAGGAAGTCTGGGTAACGAGAGGTTATAACCCGAAGGGCCCAAATGGTTGATATACGAACCTTTCCGGATCCAATCTGACCTACAACAGCGACGAATTGGCCGCGAGGGATCTTCACCTTCAAATCTTTGAGCTCAAATGGAGTCTCCGTGTCTTCAGCATCTGCTTCGGATGCCGCGGGTGCTGAGGTGGGTAACACAGCGCCCTCTCGTTTCTTGTTCTTTTTCTTCCCGCCTTGCTTAGTGGCGTCAGCCTTGACGTTGTCTGGGTTTAACTTGGCTGCGCGCTCCCAGGTGAAATCTCCCTCGATGCTTATAGCCTCCTTCCTATCCAGGTCGACTTCGTACGGGTCCTGCAACTCCTCCGCGAGCAGAAATTTTGAAATGCGTTCGAGGGCTACTATTGCTTGTGTGGCTTGTGAAACGACTATAGGCAACACGGTCAGAGGCGCTCGGATCATCTGTATTAAATATGATTTGGTCAGTCGGGTCTCCCTTCGGCGGAGAACGGCTACGCACGTTGAACCATTGCAGGGAACTGAAAATGATCGCGACGTTAAGACTATGACTGGTCAGAGCGTATGTGATCTTAGGGAAGTTCGTTCAGACATAAGTGTGATGATATGGGCCGTGTATCGAGTAACTCACAAAGGACAGAATCACGGCCAGCAGTGGGACAAAGCTACTCAGTGCTATCATCACGGAGAGCGCCCATCTATCATTCACACACGAGGAAACCAAAACGGGGTAAGTTCTCGTCTTGTAGCAGCAGAAAGACGCATTCAACTCACGCTCCCATACGAAGGCGGCTAATCTCGCCCGCCCTCAATTTGGCTATTTTGTGGCCATAGAACGTCTCCCACGCGTACAACTTAACGAGTCGGATGCCCTGCAGCACCTTCATCGCAAATATATGGGTAAAATGCGCCACAATGGAGGGTAAGGAGAAGGCGATACCTCGCTCGTCAACCGTATCCGTTGGTCAGTGATCGCCAGCCCTTTCCTGCGAGCTATCATCAAGATCGCAACCAAAATGCCCTGGACTGGGGCACCGAAGATGAATACCTAAGTAAAAATGTATTTAGAATCCATTCACGCGGTGTGAGGGCAGGACATGGACATACACCTAGGCCGACCAGCGCGGAATAACCAAGCTGTGGGATATGACTTACGATTCAGAGCTTATTGCTTCGCAAAAAGATTAAGGACTGACATTGTATATCAGGAGCGCAAGCCCTACTATAATCTGTCGGAATCGATAGAGTTAACTAACCTCCTCCAATACTCCGCAGACACGACTGACCTGGATAGGCGCTATCCAAAGCCTGAAGGGATCTCGTCAATACCGTACCGAGCAACAAATAATGGAGCCTCGTAGCCCTAGGAGAAACATGTGAAGAAATGTATATGCAACGTACTCGTGCGCATATAGGCCGACATTATCCAAACTCCCTGCATCACTACTGATCATGGTCGTTATCTGTCCTACACTATGCTCGGCTCTGCCTCGCCCAGAAAGCCGGAGAGATTTGCGGAATAACATCCCAATGACCTGGAGAGCCGTGCCCGGATATGAGAGATGAGTGTTTATGTCAGAAATAAAGTATGTGCGACCAATCGCTCTGTCAGCACTGACCGCTGTTCGGACCATCTGCCCAGTAGTCATACCTCTCAACATGTAATGTGTAGTCATCTAGTGTCCTGTTCGTATGAACGCCCGCGGCGCAGCACAAGACAATCCTAAGAAGGGAGCTGCACTCACCAAACTGCTAGCCTCTGTCAGCAAGCAGAGAATCAATATTATTGACTTCACATACATATACAGCGCCGATATATCCGCTTACCTTGCATGGCAAATATAGCGAAGGCTAAGCCAATGCCGTATCCTATACCTCTAACCTGGCCCAGTCCTGCTGCCTCCCGCTCCTCGGGAGTCAGGCGAAAGGCATAGTAGGAGTTAGTCAAGTAGGTAAGAAGGAGCTTCGTTACGAGGGGCGTCGTGATATTGAGGGTCTCTGTGTCGAGATCTCATCCGCGTTAATAACTGAAGCTACGGGTGCATGTATTACGCGAGACGTACCTGCACAGAGCTTCAGGATACCCGCTGACCACCACCTGTAAAAGAAGGAGTTGTTGAGTGCTTTGAGCAAGCTCTCGTCGTACGTCTCCTTCCGGGGGCTTTTGTCGTCGCTTGCTTCATGATTACCACCCTCGACCTTTACCGCGTCCACAGTAGCTTTAGAGTCACGTTTTTCTGACTCCAGCGTCTGTACCCCATCCGAGGGGGGTGCGTCGTTGACAGATGAGCCGCGCAGAGAAGGTGGCCTCTTCTCTGGCGAGCACCGCTCATAAAAATTGCGCTCGACTTCGTGAGACAAGTGTGCGGTTAACCTAGAATCTGGCAACTGCCAGAGATCTAAAACACACCGGTCAAATGTGAGTATCAGGTATGAAAAATTAGATAATAATGCTTGTAACACCTTCTTTCTCGAGTGGTCGAGAAAAGCCAACTTTCAGGAGCGGGCTCACCCAGCTAAAGATCAGACGAGAAAGTATACTGCGCAGGATTGAGAACCAAGTAGGCTGACAGAATTCCTGGACTCACGACGCCCGTGCCTCAGGCAAGACAGTACCTCCTCCGAAAGCGGGGGGAGCTGGAGGCGGATGTAGCGGATTGTACATCCCTATCCTAACGACGGGCTAACTGCCACAGGGATGGAGTCGTGCTGCGACGGTCAACGACTGGATGCCCACTTTATCAGTATATAAATCTGTTCATGACCTATGCATACACGCAACGTAACGGCTGCGGCTCAGGAAACTTAAGCGCCGGCGTCCCAGCCAATTGGCAGCACTGCGCCCAGGTATCCAACGTTGATCGATCGTTGATCCGACGGCATCCTTGTACGCTTGCAATCTCGTATACCGCAATACATAGCCACACGACTGGCAGTCTCTGACAGGTAGGATCACTGAACTTTTCCGGAGGCCTTCGCCTTGTTTGATGAACAGACCACCAGCTACAACGTCAACGTTAAAACACGTCGAGTTTGCAAGCGAAAATCATTCAAACTACTAGTATGTAGGATGGATATGACAACTTCACTACATAGTACTGCATCTGGTATAAACAAGGCTAGTGACGTCGTATGGTTTGCAGAGCCTGAATCTACTTTTCCTGACAACAGAGTATCTTCGCCCGGCACACATAGCATGTGTATTTGTATTACTCAGGCCTTAGCCTCGAGAGGCAAAACTGCAGTGCAAAAGGCGTACTTCCAAAGTCGTACAGCATGTATAATAACGAGCCAACTATAGATACAACCCTTCCGGCAACCCCTCGTTCTTCCTGTAAAGGACCTGGAACGAAGACGTGAATAAACGGGTGTAGGAGCGAGCAACGACGGGTACGCACCCTCTCTCTTGCTGCGGAGAAATCGGCCTTCGTCACCCGCATTCGTCGTTCTCTTAGCGCTAGCAACCCGGCTTCGGTACACACGGCCTTGATGTCCGCGCCAGAAAGATCGTCTTTTGCCGTTACGAACTCCTCGAGATCGACATCCTCTGCAAGGCTCATCCGTGACGTATGCAATCTGTGACGAGCAATATAAGGTCAGCCACGGCCCGGAAGCAGATTGCGCAAGGTAAAAGTACCTGAAAATGTGCCGTTTCGTCTTAATATCGGGCAATGGGAACTCGATCTTCCTGTCGATACGACCTGGTCGGATGAGGGCAGGATCCAGGGATTCAATCTTGTTGGTGGCCATGATAACCTTGACATCCCCACGAGTGTCGAAACCATCCAGTTGATTGAGGAGCTCCAACATGGTACGTTGAATTTCTCGTTCACCGCCAGACGTCGAGTCGTACCGTTTCGTACCAATGGCATCGATCTCGTCGATGAAGACGATGCTGGGCGCATGTTCCTCCGCTACCCGGAAGAGCTCGCGCACAAGTTTGGGACCGTCTCCAAGGTACTTCTGGATCAACTCCGAGCCAACCACGCGTAGGAAGGTCGCGGATGTTTGGTTTGCCACTGCTTTTGCGAGGAGAGTCTTCCCTGTTCCCGGCACGCCGTACAGAATCACACCCTTCGGTGGCTTGATACCCATCTCTTCATACAGTTCCGGATGCGTCAAGGGAAGCTCGACAGATTCCTACACAATAATTGTGTAAGCCTTCGTTTACAGAAACACGGATGTCTTTCTTCTCACCTTGATTTCTTGAATCTGTTGCTCCAACCCACCGATATCCGCGTAGCTCTCAGTGGGAGCCTTGTCCAGCTTCATGACGCTGACCATGGGATCCGCATCGTCCTGCAATACGCCAATAATCGACTGCGTCTTATGGTGCAGCAAGACCTGGCAGCCGGGCTCCAACAGGTCCTTGTCGACAAAGGACATGATGGAAACGTAGAATTCGGGTCCTGATGCGGTGCTGATGATAGCGTGGTCATCGTCAATGATCTCCTCCAAGCTCCCAACGGCCATGGGGCTGCCCCGCAGGTCGTCCACCTTCGACCGCTCCTCTTCGTTCCTCTCATCCCGAGTTGCTTCGGGCTTCAGACGTTCCTGGTTCTGTACAAACTCTTCCTCGAGAAGTAGGTAGTCCTTGATGCGCTCCATCTTGAGCAGCCGTAGGCGACACCGGGTGGTGGGATAAACGGCGGGCAGCTTAGATGCAGCGTCCGGTCCGCGCTTCTTCTTCTTGCCGACGCGGGTAGGCAGGGGAGGCTCCCATTTCTTCTTCTCCTCCTTCTTCTCTTTGTTGTTCTGGTTGTCGCTGGGACTGTTGCCTCCTGGAGGAGGAAGGCCAGAGGCTGCGTTACCCTGCAAGTCTGATTAAGCACATGGATGGTTCCCCTTGAGATCGAGACCCACCATTACAAAGAATGCTGTATTCTTCTAGACGCACACCAAACGATTCGTAGACTAAGTGTCAAGGCTTTAACTGAGGACAAGACGAGCAGAACGACGTGAATGGCGGTGGGATGAATACACACTCGACGCGACGCGTCATTGCGACTACTTTCGAATTCGACCTCCGACACTATTCGTGGGAAGACACGCCTAATAGAGCGTACGCGCCTGGCTTCGGACAGCAAACACACGTCTGCAATGGATATCGAGCACAACGTCACGGCCTCTACACCCCTCACGTCGACATCCCAATTTATACAGGCCGGTGAGTGATATGCCTTGGACCGTATTACAGAATGTTCTAACGTCTCCCGTTTACACAGACGACGACGACCTGGACGAGGATGACATCCCCGCATTCACGCACCCGTCCATTCAGCCGGCGTCTCCGAGTCCCGACAAAGGCAAGGCGAGGGCACCCGAGCAGCTCGCGCCGCCCTCTGGCTCAGTCCCCTCGGTGTCCGGGAATATCGGTAGCTCGAGTGGTGGAGGGGTGAAGCCTTCTCGGCAGACTGTTGGCGGTGTGCAGGTCGAAACGCGGTATGTATTTATAGTAGTCTACCCTCCTTGTCACGTACTTAGTAGTGTGCGCAATATAGATATACTGGGGCGGATACGCTGGATGAGCCCGTGACGGCGACCATTGTACGCTGCTCTTCTTTCAGTCCCTGAGATTGCGCTCCCAACACGATGCTTCAGGCCAGAGACTTGTTATCCATATATTCCAAGCTCGTGCAAGTATTATACCCCCGCAGGAGCGGTGCTGCTCGAGAAGTGCTAAGGTGTGCGGCCTGGCATGTTGGCCAACTGATCTAGCACTTACCACCTAATACAGAGACTGGGATTTATGGGGCCCATTAATACTGTGCCTGTTGTTAGCAATCATGCTTAGTATCAACGTTCGCGCATTTCATAAGTTTGCACCTCCTCGTATGTCTGATTCTGGGATAGGCACCGGCATCCCAATCTCTAGGAGTGTTCACGAGTGTCATCGTAATCGTTTCGGTCGGCTCCCTAATCGTAACAGTTCAAGCCAAGGTCAGAATCTCATTTACCCTCTCCTATGAATGAACACTAACTTCTTCCTTAGCTTCTCGGTGGCCGGGTGTGAGATCGATTCACAGTGATCTGGGTCACGTTCCTGAGGATACATTTTAGATCGTTCTTCCAAGGTCTATGTGCCCTCGGGTATTGCATAGCACCCCTCGACATCGCCGCTCTCGTGGCTACCTTCGTGCATATCATATGGGTTCGTGCACCTGTAGCTCTCGCAGCGTGGGCGTGGTGCATATGGGGTGAGTGATCCCGTCAAATTATGCGGATATCGTTGACGTCCAAGGAAAAGCATCCATCAATTTCTTCGATGGCGCCAAAATCGAGCAGCAGAGAATACTCCTGGCTGTCTATCCTTTATTGTGAGCGTCGTGCAAGGCATTTTTCTCAGAACTGAAGCTGACCTGGACGGTAGACTGTTTTACTTTATTCTGGCATGGATGATACTCATCCAATAGTCAAATGAGGCTTGTTAATGGAATGGACTTGCGCTTCCATCGGATCCGGGTCTGCTGAGACTTCTCTCTTCGTTCCGTCAATCGAGGTGTCCATAGCTTTATCATGTGCAGGCTTCAGCCTTTGAATTATCTCCTCGGTGCGAGCTACAGGGCTGGATGAAGCAACTCGGCGACTCGTTGCCTGCGGAGAAACTGAGAGGCTAACCCTAACCTGACCTCCCCATCGAACTGCACAGTCATTCCGGTTCATTGGTTGATCCGAATATGCAAGATGGTCTCATCTGCTCGTGAGATGAATGTATGTTATTACACTCTCACGTTCTCGATGCAACTAAGCCCTGAGCTAGCTCAGCCAGTCAGCGTCCTCAATGAATAAATAACACATTGACGACAGGCCCGTGAGGCCAGCGGGCACTATGCGTACAACTATTACAACAATAAATAATCATCAGGTCGAGCCCGTGATACTATGATTGTCCATTCGAATGTCGTGACTCAACATCTTGAAGTGCGATGGGTTTCTCGGTGGCGGGAGCTTCGTCCTTTGCCGGGAGCGGTGGCATGACATGTTTCAGGCCAAAGCTCGCGACGATGCCGATCGAGAACCACGCCGCGATGATAATAAACACCAAAGAGTAGCCGGAGTTGTACGCCTGGCGCACGACCGCCTGGAGCTGCGGCGTGAGGGTGGGGACGATGTCCGAGGGCGCCTCCGTGATCTGCTGGCGCACGCCCGAGTCGGGGAACGCGCTGGTGAGCTTCGACTCGACGCGCGCGTTGAGGACGGCCGTGGAGATCGCGAGGCCGATGAGCCCGCCGAGCGTGCGCGAGAACGCCTGGAAGCCCGTCGCGACGCCGAGGTCCGCGGGGCGCACGCTCATCTGGATGATGATCGTCGACACGGTGATGGTGATGCCGAGCGAGAGCCCGAGGATGACCTCGTACCCGTAGAGGTGCGGGTAGCTCGTGCTCGCGCCGCCGACCGCGCCCGCGCCGCCCTTGAGCGTCGAGATGAGGCCGGCGCCGACGGGCGCGAGCGCGGCGGAGATCCAGAGGAGCGGGCGGTACGAGCGCGTCTTGACGATCATGACGGCGGCGAAGGGGCTGATGAGCCCGACGGGCACGAGGATGGGGAGCATCGCGACGCCGGCGCGCATGGGGCTGCGCCCGTCGACGACCTGCAGGCGCTGCGGGAGGTCGACGTTGATGGAGAAGAAGGCGCAGCCGAGCGCGAGCGTGTACGCGATCATGAGCAGGAAGTTGGGGTTCTCGGGCGGGATGTAGGACTTGGCGCCGCTCGCGGGATCCGTGCGGTCGGCGAGGTTCACGACGTGTGCGCTCGCGGGCTCGGGCTTGTAGCGGAACGTGAAGAGGCGCAGGGGCAGGACGGGCTCCTTTACTCTGAGTTCGACGAAGATGAATGCGGGGATGATCAACACGGATATGATCAAAGGGGTCAACACTGTGGCGGACACCCAAGGGTAGCCGGGAGTTCCTCCAATTTGCAGCTGTTGTGGGGTCGCATCAGCAGGTGTGCGGGAGCAACCAAGGGAGACTTACCGAGAGAGCAAGCAAAAGGGACGAGGCCAAGAGAAGGAAGGCTCCAATCCAGTCCACGCGAGTCTTGAGGTCAGAGAACTGGATGGTCGTCTGCTTGGGATAGGTGAGGAACGCCAGGACCAAAACCGCTGCAATGAGACCCAGTGGTAAGTTGATGTAGAAGATCCAGCCTGTATCAGCCACGAGTGAGTCTGTGATCGCTTCCGCCTGTACAGTCTGGCTTACCCCAGTGAATGTGCTGGACAATAGCACCACCGATCAAGGGACCAGCTACACTACTTAGAGCGTAACTTGCACCGAGAACGCTAGTGTACTTGGCAACATCTTCGCGAGGAACCATGGTGGATATGGTCGTCAACACGCCAGAGTAGATCGCAGACCCGCCGATGCCCTGGAGCGCGCGGAACACGATGAGCTGAATGATGCTCTTTGCTCCGCCGCATGCGCCAGAGAATGCCTAGGAAGAGGGGGTCAGTCCATTGGCGTATAAAAAGTCGTCCACGCGACTGACCATGAACCATAATATAGAGGATACTAAAACGATTTTACGGCCAATTATGTCTGTCAGCTTGGAAACAACAGGGAGGAAGGCTGCCGGGTGGTCGTCAGTTGGGCGGTTATTTCAGCGTCGCAGCGGGAAAGACAGACCTGTGTAGGTCAGAATATAGGCCGTGACCACCCAACTCGTCTCCTCGAAATTATTGAATTCAGCACCGATTTTAGGAAGAGCAACGGCAACTATGGTAGAGTCTAAGGCTGATAGAAACATGGAAAGGGCGAGGGCAAAGGCCACGATGGCGCGCCGATTAGCGGGAACGTAGTAATCGGCGTCCTTGTGTTCGTCCTTGGAGTCGGCCATCGTGTTGTCGTTCGACCTCGCCATGAAGGAGGGATGAAAGGGGGGAGGAGCGGAAAGAGAAGATATAGTAAGGGTCGGACCGCAGAGTCGCGGCTATTACCTACGAGTGGCAGCTGCGGGGAGGGACCCTTCCATTCTGGCGCCAAACAAATGGCGTACGGGCGAGCGTCTCCCAGGCTGCCAACGAGCGGACAAGGGGCGGCCGCATCATGGCCACATCAACTGATGGCGCCGTCTGTGGCCACCGCCCTGATCGGGCTTCGGGAACTCCCGACGCGTGGCGGTGCACACCACGTGTCGGTGTTGTCCCCGGTCCAGCGCGTCGATGGCGGGCTATAATATTAACATGCCCAGGGCGCTGCTGCTCTCGCTCTTGCCGGCGCTGCTCGCGGCCTACCTGGCCTGGTGTCTGCCGGGCCAGATAAACATCAAAAATATTCAGCATGCATTTTCGTTCGACAAGCCGCCCGGCACCGCCGTCCCCTCCGCTAGCCGTGCGGAGGGCGATGCATCGAAGCCGACGCCCTTCGTGCGGCGCATCATAGCCGTCGGCGACCTCCACGGCGACATTGGCAATGCGCAGAAGGTCCTGCGAATGGCCCAAGTCATTGACGCCAACGGCGACTGGAGCGGCGACGTCGACTTTTTCGTGCAGACTGGGGACATTATCGACCGGTCAGTCTTTACGCGCATACACCCACGTTCTGAATGTCACTCGGCTACAGAGGGGATGACACGATTAAACTGTATGCGTTGATGGATAAACTGCGCGAACAAGCGCCAGCAAAGGGTGGCCAGGTCCTGTCGCACCTCGGGAACCACGAATGGATGAACGCAATAGGTACGCCGTTCCTCCTCAGCCTGCATGTCTACTCAGCATCTCCCTAGGCGACTGGCGGTGAGTGCAACCGCGATGCTCGCATCAAACATCTAAGATGTTTCGTCCAGCTACGTCTATGGGACCGAAATCGCTACCTTCGGCGGCGTCGAAGAGCGCCAGAAAACAATCACGACCGGCTGGATAGGCAAAGCCTGGGCAGCCAATTACACCACCGCGTCTCGGCTGCCGCTACACCCCTCCCTCGGCCCACCCAACACCGACTACCCCCCACCCTCCTCATCCTCATCCTCCGCTCCCCTCTCGCACGCCGCCATCTCCTTCGTGCACGGCGGGCTCGCGCCGAGCTACCCGGCGCTCACGCCCTTCCCCTCGCACATCAACGCCCTCTCGCGCTCGCTCCTCGCAAAGCTCCAGGCGCGCCGCCCCTTCCCGCCGCCGCACCCCCCGCACCCGTACCCCGGCCTGCCCGCGGACGCGACGCCCGCGGAGGAGCGCCTCTACGGCACGGACGGCCCGCTGTGGTACCGCGGGTGGGCGCTCGATAGCGAGGAGGCCGTCTGCAAAGCGGTGGACGACGTCCTCCGCCGCACGGGCACGCGCAGGATGGTCATGGGGCACACGCCGGATTTCGACGTACGCTTGTGCTGTGGTTTCGCTCCCACTGAACTGACGCTGACTGGCGTAACCTAGAGAATCGTGTCGAGGTGTAACGGCAAGATACTCATAATAGACACCGGTAAGCCCGGGCCCGTGCGTTCCTCGTCCCGCGAGTGTATTGCTGAGGTCAAATTACCTAGGGATATCCCATGCGTATGGGGGCGTGCTATCGGCGCTGTCGATCGTGTACTCGCTCACGCCGGTCGACGCGGGCCCGGATTCGAGTTTGAAGACGTGGGTGGAGAAGGAGGTCGTCACGGCGCTGTATATGGACAGGCAGGAGGTCCTAGCGGAGGATATGAGGACTGTCGTCGGGAATATAGTCTGAGCTGGGTTGTTTGCGACATCCCTTACGTTCGAGCACATTTCATTGCCTGTCGAGCGCCAATGTTACTGTATAGATCTGGACTGTGTTTCCTCTCGAATGCAGGCTGCCCGAACGCTGAGGCTGCCAGACATGTCTTTATGTCCCGGATGCTATGCCGTTGATAGGCTGCATACGGATCTCCACGCTACGTCGGAAACCAAATACATACTTACCCAGGGATCAGATCGATCCCTGTCCATCACAACTGCATTCATTCCGAGTCTCACAATGCATGCATACGAATTAATACACACACCCTGGACCGCCGGAACACCCGGGTGGCCTAAAAGTGCTGACACAACGGAGGAGCGAAGCGTGGTTGGATGAAATGGCCGATTTCGCGGAACTCGGGAGGTAAACAGACATGCGGCTTCTGTGAGGCCCGCTGGAGGAGCGGACAAGCTCACCCCTAGGCGCTTGCGATAAGGTGTGAGCGAAGGTAAAGCTGCAACGCAGGCAACATGTACGCCTCGTAATGAGCGCTCCGAGGTGCAGGATATTGTACATCGCAGATTGCGCAGCGCGTAAGGTGGGATGCTCCCGCTGAACGGTGGCGAGAAGGTCCGCGTCCGAGGAACTCCGTGAAGAGGAGAGGAGACGCAAGCGAGGTGGGCGTTTGTGGTGACTGGGATGTCTGGACCTACAGAGGTGCGGAACAGAACTTCCTGCGAGAAGACGTTTACGTCTCTTGTATGCCCTGACGATACAAAGCGCAGCAGATTTGTGCCTTGGTGTGCCTCGGAACGGGGACGGGCATGCGAAATATGTAGATCAGCGATAGCTTGATGAGAATGAGGTCGGAAGCAGATCCAAGAGGAAGCAGATCGTGGTATGAGGCCTACGCTGACGCGTCCTTATAGGCCCTACTCCTTTCAGTGATTACTTGACTGCGTAGAACGCGAGGACGGATACTACATGCACAATCCGGCGAACAATGGGCGAGAATCCACTGGAGTCGCGGTCCGCTCTCGTACCTGGATGAACAGACACGAGCTGGAGAAGCGAATGTGCGTCAGAATCCGTGAACGACGAGGCGTCGTACGTGAGCCTGGAGATCTAGTGGGGGGACCAGGTAATAGTGATCTTGAGAATATTAACTTTGGCTAGCTCTGCTGCTGGCAACAAGTGCTCCAGAGGGAGATGTACCACAGTTACAACGTGCGCCCTACCAGAAAGACGGGTGGTGAAAGGGCGACAGTGAGGTTCAAATACTGTAGTACTCCGCCCGCGAAGTGAAACATTCTATACCTCCGATCTCGAAGCGGTCAGTTGTGTCTTTCCTATCCGCGCTGAGCCTGAAAGCCAGAAGCACGGCAAGCATGTCCGACTGAACTATAGTCGAGTCCCTCTTAACCCATAGTGGTCGGTGGAAGCCGAAAGCTATGGGTTTTCAGGGAATTTGAGCTATTTTTATCCTGATTAGGCACATATGTATGAGAGCACATTTACAATGTTTGAATTGATTTTAGTCGAGAAACTCATTCATTCCAACAGAAAACAGTGCGCCTATGGCGATATGTACCCATTTCCAGCGAGATGGATGGCACGGAACATGCCGGGATGACCCTCGGCAGGCTCTCCCGTGTCACGCTCCGCGCCATTGTCACAGTATGTCACACTCTTATAACCCATACACAGCCGGACGCTTTGGTTGAAAATATTTGAATACCCCTTGAAGTCAAAACGTCAAATCACACTAGTCAGAATTTGTGACATTTTTTTGTTTTAAAAAAGCGACAAACTGACTTCTTGTGCAAAGATTTGATTGGGGAAAGTCAAAAATTGTTAAGAACAAATGCACGTGATCTGCTCGTGACTACCACGTCATCCGTGGTTCATGGGGGTGGGCAACGCCGCGTCGAAATGCGTATGCTTATGTAAGCAATTGGTGGCGCAAAAGTGACCAATGCTGCTCCTGTTGCCCATACACAATCACCTCACTCTTCTGAGGTCTAAGCAGGCACTAATGAGTGTATATAACATAGTCATATCCAAAGGTAAGCCTATGATTAAATGTCAGAACTAATAAAATGACAGAACTCCCGGGCATTCGCCCTAGTCACATCACTGTCACACCGCATCTCGCGCCAAATCACTTTTCTTCAGTCGACTACCGTGGACACTGTGCTGGCTCGTAGACTCACTTTCATGTCTAGCTTCAAACATGAGAAGTGCTCTATCAAGTAAGCTCTTGTGCGTGTTCAACCCAGATTGTCCATTGGGTAACTTTTTTTACACTATTTATTTAACTATCAGCAATTTCCCAAAAATTCACTGAACACGCACTAGTAATGATCTTTTTGTGCAAATCTGTGACTTAAATCTGCTTGAAAAGGCAATAGCGGGGGCACAACGTTGTCCGACAGCAGTTGGTCACTGCCAAATCGCGTTTAAGCCTGAGCCAAATATGTACAAATAGTACGCATTCAGACGCGGCGTTGCCCACCCCCATGGTTCAGCCGTCCTCGGGCTCACATTCCGTTTGCTCCCGGTCCCTTGGTACTGTATTGTATATCATACTATGTAATAATGCAAGGATTTTATTGTTCTATCTGTTGCTGCATACACCCTGAAGTTTCTAGATATATGTATGGCCGAAGTAACTCATCAGCGTCATGTTCAGACCGCTGGTCAGAGGCTTCAGGAGCGACTGGCTCATGTGAAGCACCCGGGGATTGAGCAGGAGGGTCGCGAGGTGGAGGGGCAGAGCTAGGTCCGGGAACCTGTTGCTTCTGCTTGGACTGGTGAGGTATGCAAGATGTCTTAGATTTTTCGCCAACTAAGTCCTTCCACTTCTTGTCTGACTCAATCTTGCGATAGGTTTCTACGGGATTCCACGGTTCACCGTAGATATTACCCAGGCGAGTTACTGGTTTCCTTTCTCTCACCGGTCTCCGCAGCTCATCTTGTTGCGCAGGATCCCCCGGAGGTGGAGAAGGCGGGTTCTCAGGCTCTCGCACCTCAGGCTGCGCAGGTTTGTCGTCACGATCCTGGCCTGGCCCCTTTTGGGATTTAGGAGGAGGACATGAGTCTGGCTCATCGTCATCGGTGATCCAGTCATCATCAGAATTTTCTGGTTGACTGTCAGCTGGTTTAGGCGCACTTTGTAGCCTAGTGCTTGCCCATCGCTTTGTATTAGGGCATTTAGGGAATATAGCTTCGTCAAACAGTGCAGTAGGCTGAGTGACTATACTATTATTGGCGCGCATGAACTTGAAGCCATGGCCACCATCTGCGACACCAATGTAAGTCATCAGCTCAGCTTTAGGCGATAACTTATTGGGTCTGGTTTCCTTTGGCAGGTAGACATACGCTCCGCATCCAAAGACACGTAAGTGCTTGATGTCAGGTGCTTCCTTGTTCAGGACCTCATAAGGAGTCTGCCATTGATGGCGCTTCAAAGGGGTCCGG